CCAGCGTCCCACTAATGTGTTGGAACATTTTGATGATGTTTTAATGGCTCTTTAATTCTGTGTTGTGTTAAGGAAAGAACAGCAGCAGATTATAGTTAACACTAATGTGTTTATCCATAGTCTCCCTACATATTAATTGCTTGAAGAACAAATATTAAGAAGTGGGCTGAAATGTACGTTAGTGATTGAGAATTCCACATGGTCTGATCGGTTTCTGTTTATGAATGTCAGGCTGGGAAGGAAGGAGTGTTCACACAAAGGCTTGATGAAGCAAATGCATATTTTATCAGGTGGAAAATAATAGCTTTGGCCCTTTCTAGAACCACATTTACAGTTCCGAAGTGCCGGACTATTGATCTGTGATGGTCATTGAGACATCTAAGCCCCAGTGGACCCACAGACTAGAAGCTAAGTCAGGAGATCTCACCCCACTCTTTGTGCTTTGACCAACTTCAAATTGAAATTATTATTTAAAAACAAACTTTAAATTAACGGTGTCATCTCGGATCAGAGTCTCATGTCTCATCTGACTGGGACTCTAGAGAAGCATACCACATAGAGCAGTGGTCACCAACCTTGGGCCTCCAGATGTTCTTGGACTACAACTCCCAGAAGCCTTCACCACCACCTCTACTGGCCAGGATTTCTGGGAATTGAAGTCCAAGAACATCTGGAGGCCCAAGGTTGGGGACCACTGGCATAGAGTCTTGGTACAATTGCTTCTCACCATAAAAGCCATGGATCTAGATCAAATAACTCATCCCAGATAGAGCAGTCCTATTAAATCAGTGGGATTTGTCCTAGTGTTACCATTCTGCCATGACCAGTATCCTATTGAGCAGCTCCGCCTGCATAATGGGAGTGACGTCACTAGCCACGGGAGATATTTACTCCTCAAAGGGTTCCTTTTCAGTTTTGGGGTGTGTATGACTCATGCACAATAATATGAAGTCACATGAAGCACACAATCAAAAAAAGGAATCTGTCGTGGTCAGCATCTTGCATAGGTGAAATTAGCAGTTATTTTTTTGCTACATTTCCACCTACATTTTGATATTTGATCTCACTCTGTTGGCTATATGCTCTCTCTCTCTCTCTCTCTCTTCTATGTGTGTGTGTGTGTGTGTGTGTGGGTGTGTGTGTTTGTTTAATCCACTGGGAATCCACTTTTAAGAGACAGCCTCATCCAGGCAATTCATTCAATTGGCTGTCTCATCTTCCATAATCCCTAGTTAGTTACAGATGTAAATACTCTATTTCTTCGGAAGAGTTTGCTACCATTAAGCATTTTATCCTCCTCTCTCCTGCCCCAATTTCGAAGTAAATTAGTGACTGTTATTTCACGTTCTTTGAAATGCTGGGAAATGACCTATAAATCAGCATTTGGGAGACATCCGTTACCACATTTGTGACTTCTCAATGAGATGATCCCTTAAGGTTCCACCCGCAGGGGGTTCTTTAAGACCTCGTTCTGTTTTTAGAGCGAAATATGGAAACCTCTTTGCTAGGATTCCACCCACTGCTTAATCTGGTCAGGCCGTTTATTGTTTCTTTTTCAATGGGAATGAGAAATACAAAAACTCAGTGTGAGAGGAAAGAAAATTTCAACTGTGCACTGTAATTTAAAGTAAGCTTTGTGTTGTTGTTGTTTTTTCCAGAGCCTTAAAATGTCATTGGATACGGGATGTTTCTGTTTTCTCATTAAGGTGGCAAAAAGCCAACATCCCTTAGCTTAGTTCAGAAGTGGCTAAAGTCACCTCCTTAGTAATCACTCCTATAACAAGCTCTGCCTTTAATAAATCATTTCACCACACATGCTTACATTTGATAGACCTGCTCTAGAGGTTGAGGACTTCTCTGCTTTTGCGTTTGTTTGTTTTTTTGCTGGAATGTTTCGAAACATCTATAAAATTTCAAACTTTTTTTTAAATCTTGGTCTTGCTCATATCGGATTAAACCCATATTTTAATGCAAACCAGTTTGAGGTATGATGGAACTAAGCAGTATGGAATGATGAAGTGGTGAGCGCCCCAATGCAAGAGAAAACAGGACAACCCTCTGTCAGATCTGCTTTGATTTGGGTTCCTGCCTTGAGGAGGGGGTTGGACTGCATGGCCTTCTAGGCCCCCTTCCAGCTTCACTATTCTATGATTCTATGAGAAATGAAATGAATAATTAAAAGATCAGGCACAGCAGGAACTAGTAACTAATGAGCAAAATTATAGCAGATCATGGCTGATGACGATGATGACGATGATGACGATGACGACGATGACGACGACGATGAGAATGATAATGAGAATAATGATGATGATGATGATGATGATGATGATGTAAGCTGATGTTCATGTGTTTTTGAACTTAGATGTTAACCCCCTTCATGACCATAGGGATCAGCACAATACAATTTAACACCCACAGAGTACAAATGTAACCCCATCAGGCCAACAATAAATTTGTGACATTCTCTAGGAAGTCAAGGTTCACGCTTTTGAGTTTTGAAAACACAACATTGTAGGTTATAACAAACCGCCCTTAATGGATGCATCACATACATAGGTTGAAATCCTGCCTTGCAGTTACACAAAGAGGGTAACTTTTGGAGGAACCTTGGCTTAAGTTAAGCAAGCTCACTAGGCATTACCAGTAGCATGCCAAGCTGTGTGATTCAGCATGCCACAGACCATGACTACGAAGATTTATCTTCGGCCATCTATCTCAAAGTTACGTTGTTTGAGTAGCTGTGTGACAGGATTTTCTCCAGTGTTTAAGAGTGACTGAGAACTTCTGGAGTGTTCAAGCCACATCATGTAGATTAGCTTACTCACCCTAACAATAGCGCTCACTGTTTCTCTTATTCTCCATTGACAGATGGGGATGAGGAAGTTCAGCTGATGGAAAAACCACAGCGATGGCTGGAGTTTTATCTGTAGGGATCTGCCAATCAAATTGGATAGGTTTTTTTTAATGCAGTTATCTTTGCACCCCAAAATAGCAATCCCCTGCCTCTCCTTTCATCAGGAAATCCAGCTGAGCTCAGCGGGACTACTTTAAAGGAAAGGTCTAGGATCAGGCTGTATGATCACTGGGAGACATGAGGCTGGCTGACGCATCTATCAATTCATTTCTTTTAGATGGCTCTGTGTTTTCATCACTTTTTGAACTAGAACAGAGGAACTCTGTTCCTTTAAGATATTCAACGATTTCTCTTTTTTTCACCCCTCTTCGTAGTATGATATAAGAGCGAACTGGGGCTTTCTCACACAGTAGAGAGAGACAGCAGAAAAACTCCACTCGGATCTTGTACATTTCCTACCTCTTCCTTCTGTTCTCTTTCACAAGTAAAATCAGGTCGAATTTCAAAACTCCACATGGGGAACTATTTTGGCGAGAGATTGCCACTCGGCTGTCGGCAGGAATGGCAGTCTTCATTCACTGAAGCCAAACGAAATCACGATTTACTTGTTCTGCACGTAGACCTTGATTTTCAGCCCCCCCTCAACTTTAAATGCTTCCGATGTTTGAATAAGAATGAGAAAACGTTCATAAAGCTGAGCACCTCCTTTCTCCCCCCTCCCCCGGGTGCAAATCAGTAGGAATGTCAGCAGAGGCAACGAAATTACTTTTGATTTACAGTAGGGGTCCTACACAGTAAGGATAATTGAGCCTTATTTTTTTGGCTTCAGGAGGACTTGATGTAGTTTGAGCTAAATAGATGAGTACCATTTAACCATTCTTACGAATGGCTTTGTGCAAGTAGAAGCCATGTTGGTCCGGTAAGGGGAAAAAATCCAGACCTAATTAGGGATCAGTTGTTTTTATTAGGACCAGTTAAAATATCACATAGGAATAAACCAGCTTTTGACTTTTTCAGGCTAGACTTAAACAGAAGCTAGAGCTGTTTCTTTCCTTTCCTTCTTTTAAAAAGGAATTTGTGGTGGTGTTCATTACTTTTGACAGCCAGATTGTCTTATTGCTATCCTTTGTTCAGCCGTGAAAACAATTTGTTATGCATTTGTATGCAGTTATGGAATCCCATGGCTGTTACCTGTGGGTGAGGAAAATACACTAAAAATACTCTTTGGTTCTCATGTCACGGTGGCTCCCAGACAGACAGACAGACAGACAGACAGACAGAACATACTGTACAGGGGAAATACAGTGGTGCCTTGCTAGACGATGTTAATTCATTCCGTGAAAATTGCTGTTTTATGAAAACATCATCTAGCGAAGCACGGTTCCCCATTGGAATGCATTTAAATCTGTTTAATGCGTTCCAATGGGGAAAAATTGTCGTCGTCCAGCAAAAATTGTCCATAGGGAAACCGTTTTGCGAAGCACCAATCAGCTGTCAAAATCGCTGTCTTGCGAAAACCAGTCCTGAAAACACCTGTTTTGCGAAGTATTGACCCAGCTGTCAAAATCATCGTCTAGCGAAAAATGGTCCCGAAAAAAACCATCTTGCGAAGCATGGACTGAAACATCGTCCAGCGAAAATCGCCCATAGAGAAAACCATTTTGCGAAGCACTATAGCAATCCCAAAAACGCATTGTCTAGCGAATAAACTGTTTTGTGAGGCAATCATCTAGTGAGGTACCACTATAGAACATGAAACCACAGAAGCAAATGCAAACCATGGTTTGTTGTTAGGCATGGAAGCTCAACCCAACATTTCTGCTCTAAACTTTGGTTAATGCAAACCATAATCCAATGTGAATGTTGGAGCTGAACCTCCGTGTCAGGTGTGGGCAAATAGGTTGTCGTCAGCCAGCCAAAACCTTGTGTGTCTTCTCTTTTAGGAAGCAGAGATCCTGAACACTGCGATCCTGACCGGAAAGACAGGTTGTTAGGCATGGAAGCTCAGCCCGACATTTCTGCTCTAAACTTTGGTTAATGCAAACCATAATCCAATGTGAATGTTGGAGCTGAACCTCCGTGTCAGGTGTGGGCAAATAGGTTGTCGTCAGCCAGCCAAAACCTTGTGTGTCTTCTCTTTTAGGAAGCAGAGATCCTGAACACTGCGATCCTGACCGGAAAGACAGTTGCCGTCCCTGTTAAAGTGGTCTCTGTGGAGGATGATGGAACAGTCACTGACCTTCTAGAATCTGTTGAGTGCAGGTCCTCTGATGAAGATGTGATTAAGGTATTGAAAAGTTCTTCCGCATTATGTCGGCGCATGTTTCTAGTCCACAACTGTATCCAGTTTCCCATCTGTCAGAATATGCTTGCCTTGGGGTGGAGTTGAACTGGCCTTCCTGTGCAGAGGTTTCCTTTTGTGATTTCATGTTTTATTTTGGAAGAAAGAGGGTATAAACTGGGCTTAAAGAGTTACCATACTCCCTACAGCAGCTTCATAGACTGACCTCATCTTTTAGTTTGTGAGTTGTTGGTGTGAGGGCAAGAACCTCCCTTCCTGAATATATACTACCTGTTTTTTTCCCCTTCTATAGTGGTGATGAACAAATGAGTAGATGAGTAATTAACTGTGTGCCCTAAAGTCAATTCTGACGGTGTAAAAGGTGTGGGTTGATGAAAAATGCACATTTTGTGCAACAAGCACATCATTGTTGTTGTTTTGCTAACATTGCTGGTTTCAAAAAAAAAACAAGTTGTTTTGTTCTCACATGGGGTGGGGGGACTCACAATGGTTGACCACTTGATTCAAGGGAGTGTCTCAGTCTGTTAAAATAGGTGTTGTTGTTGTTGTTGTTGTTGAAAAAAAAACAGGTTGTTTTGTTCTCACATGGGGTGGGGGTGGAAACTCACAATGGTTGACTGCTTGATTCAAGGGAGTATCTCAGTCTGTTAAAATAGGCTTTGTTGTTTTTGTTGAGAATAAGAAAAATTATGAGTGTTCATTATGGCTAATGTTCATAATCCTAGGACATCCAGTCCCGGAAATTAAGTAGAATCATCCAGGCAGACATTTGGCACTGGAAGTTGTAGGATTCAGAAAATCCCACCTCTAGCGTTCATTACATGCTTAGCCGTGAATAGCATCTTGACTGCAACCAGGTGGATCCCCTTTCGTTAGCTAATGAACAAAAGATGCATTTTACCCCTGAGCAATGGCTCTCCCTGTTAAAATGATTCCAAATGGGGTTTCAACCTCATTTTCAGCCTTCATTTGTTTTCATCCTCATCGTTTGTATGCTAATTCTTCCACACGTAAGATTAACTTGGGCAGGATTTTTTTGGGGGGGGGGGTTGGAGTGGAGATTGTTGCAGAATCCAAGATGCCGTATAACGACCGTAGCAGGGTTTCCATTTAGCTGAGCCATGGCAGAACCAGCTCTCCTGCTGGTATTATCTGATTAAAGATACCTCACTCTGTGTCATGATCCAGGTAGCTTTCTATCTGCCACTGATTTGGAAAATGGATTTATTTAGCGGAGGTTTACAGAATGGGAGGAGAAGACCAAAGAGCTAGGGGATGCTCAGAGGCTGTGTTAACTTCTGTTTCTGATGAACCCGTCTTTGATTTCTGGAAGATTTGATTGAGAGCGAGAGAGAGGGTTCATGCATTTAATTATGGTCACCGTCGTTTCGAGCTTCCAGTAAATGGAAAGATCTGCCAGCATACAAATCCAGGATCAAGCCGGCCACGGTCTAAAGTGGAAGCGAAGCTTTCCTCATGGAGATCAGCTTTGGCACAATGGCGACATTTCAGCTGGTGTAATCTTGCACCACTGCACATGGCCAGTGGTTCTCCACCTGCCCCCAAATCTTCCTCACAACAAAACTGTGAGGTAGGACAGGTTCAGAGAGAATGGCTTGGCCCAAATTGTGTCTGTGTTATTGCACAGAGTTTTATGAGTTAGAAGGCATGGATGGGTTGTTCATATCTTTTTTGAGCCGTGCATGTCTTCAAGGGGAGGGGATGAGGTTTTTCCCTTCAGCATTAGCATAACCTGTAGCTACATTTCTTCACAAACACATAGATTTCAGAGAGATCTTGATAGTTCATCTCATAAGCTCAGAAGTTGCCTGGGGTGTAGTTTGAAAGCGCCACCTCCAATACCGTCTGCATTTTTTTCCTAACTCTCCTTTAAGGAGCAAGCCTGTCACAACCACCCACCATGAATCTTTGGGTCCCTCAGTTATAATTTCCCTGCACTGTCCACAAGACATGGGTGCATGGCCTGAGGAAGTGGACTTTGACCCACGAAAACTCAGTGATTGATTTTTTTTTCCAAAAAATTGATACTAATAAAAGTATCACCGGCTCCTGCATTTTGTCTAATAAGCGTGAAACACATTCTTTCCAATAAGCAAGATATAATGTTGCAACCTTTAACATTTCACACACAAGGCATGTGATATCTTAACCCCAATTGGTTGGCACTTAAAACCCTGATTGGTTGGCTGTGCTCGTTAATACTATTGAAGTTGCAGGTTTTCAGTACCTCTGGATCTGTTTTATTAAGGGTCAAGGGAGGGATTCGCGGCTTACAAGACAGATTGGATGTAATAGAGGTTTCAAGATGAAAGGTATTCCTTCCAGATGTGTTGGACTCCAGCCTATCTTTTGCTCAGAGGTTGACCTTTGCAAATCTATTTGGGATTTGTATTTCACGAAGTCTTTGTAGAGGATTCAATCTCAGAGTGCACCGAGGGGACCCATGCAGTGAAAGCAAACAAGGGTGGAAGGAACAGGGCTTCACATCTCATTAGTAGCCCGACGGAAATGTTTACGGCCAAAGCCCAGCCAGGTAATGGCCATTTACTGGGCTCCAAAAGTCAGGAGGGCGGGGGGGGGATGGAAAACTGTTCTAATGACTGTTTTGCCAAGCTGTCAACCGGTCATGGTCTCTTAACGTCTTAAATAATTGGGGGGTTTCTGCTGCCAATGGCCGGTGATGTGTTTAAGCGGTTTAAGAAGTGAGATGGTATGTCAAGGAGAACCAATTAGTGATCCTGGGAAAGCAAGGTCAATTTTGAGCTTGGTCTGATGCCCCCACCTTTCCTGGCAGGCAAGAGATATAATGAGAGACAAATCCATCCAACGAGCAAGGGTGAAATTGACAGCCGTTCAGCCCTTTCCAGCTGTGGAGGAAACAAGGGAGTATAACCATTCCCTTGACATTGGATTTTAGACTAAGTTATCCATCTGTGGCTGTGGCTTTTTCCGTTCCGAAACCTCTGTGCCTCTCTAGAACCTGATAGAAAGAGGAGGAGGATATGGACAGGGATGGAGATTCTGAGACTTCCCTGACTTCTCCCATTCCCCTGGATTCCTCCTAAAAATGTTCTGTTCTGTTCCAAAAGGAAGCCTTTAGAATAGAGGTATGCTCTTTCATTTTTATTATTTTGGACACCAATCCCCAGAATTCTCCACAAATTTCCCGGCAGTATTCTGGGAATTCCAGCCCACAAACTCATGTTGTTGTTTAGTCATTCAGTCATGTCCGACTCTTCGTGATCCCATGGACCAGAGCACGCCAGGCCCTCCTGTCTTCCACTGCCTCCATGAGTTCGGTCAAATTCATGTTGGTCGCTTCGATGACACTGTCCAACCATCTCATCCTCTGTCGTCCCCTTATCCTCTTGCCTTCACACTTTCCCAACATCAGGGTCTGGTGTTGGGAAGCCACAAACACAAACCTAAACACAACTATATTTCACTCACCTGGAACAGGGCCTTTCTTCCAGGCTGTCTTGGGCCTACTTCCTGTACAAATAGGAAACACTGTCCTAGTGGTTTCTGGGAGGCCTAGGTCTTTGTGGGTGGTTTAGTTTTGTTGCCCATTATTCTCTGTATAGGGCATCCCCATGGAAATACCATTCCAGAAGGCCTTCCAGGAAGTACTGGGGCAGTTTCGGTTTTTTGGACAGGAAGTAGGCTCAAGATAGGCTGTGTCCCAAGTGAGTGACATGTAGGTGTGTATAGATGTAGGCCGGTGGGCAGGAAGCCCCAGAATTCTGCCTGGAGAATTCTTGGAACATTCTAGGGGTCCACCCCCCTCCCTGGATGGTACACCCCAGTCCAGGATTAGTGATTCTCTTTCGTAAACTTGCAGGTGGGTCTGTAGCCACTACCAATTTGGGGTCTTGGGGGGGGGGGAAAGAGAGATATTAACCTTTCTAAGGCTATTCTGGACCTCAGTGGACTGTGGGAGGTGTAGAAAGATGGACCTCAGCCCAGGAAATTTGCCCACGCTTACGTACCAAGGCAAGTATTCTGATCATCTCTTTCCTGTTATCTCTTCTGGTTTGGTCCTTTAAAAGAGCCTATTTGGGCAAAGTCTCTAGAAACCCTACCTCTAAGACAGCCTTCGCCCAGCTTTTGTTTTCCAAAAGTCCTCACATTTGCCACTCATCACTCTGACTTGTGAAGGACCGTCTGACACTCTCTCTTCAAAGGGGCCATTATTTATAGCATTGCTGTGCTCTCGGTTCTCATACCATCCTGCCAATAAAGCCCCAAGGTTCCCAGAGCTGTTTTCTTAATACCCTGTGAAGTGCCACGGCCTGCCAGACAAAAGACTGTCATCACACTACCTAAATTTAGGATTCTGCTTCCAAAGTCTTCTGGGTACAATACAGCCACCGAGTTCCAAAGCTTTAGGTTGTCATCTTTTGAACTGTTGGAGTGTCTAGTTAGCAGGCAGAAGCCTTGATCACGATAACTAAAAGGCTCGTTAGGAGCACAGGCATCGGCTGGAAAGCTCTTTAGATCTCAAATGGAGAACTCCAACTGGGGTGCCGACATCTTTGACTCCCCCTGCCGTCAAAGCAGCTTGCAAACAAACAGAACTGTCAGCTTTTTGTTGGTCTCGGGCACCAACATTGCCGAGAAAGCATCCAGTATCGTTTTACTTAGGTGAGAAGAGATTTTAGTAGGTCTTACATGGCCTTGGAAGTCTTCAGTGTGGCCCAGTGAAGGTCAGTGACTCCAGTGTCCTGGGATCATGGTGAATCAGGTCTGGATTTTAGTCTGAACATTAAGAGATCTATCCAAGGTGCTGAACCTATTTTTCAGGTTATTTTGGGAACCTTGGACCCATGATCTCAGGACACTGAAGTCAATGGCCATCATTGGGCCACACTGAAGACTGTCAAGGCCACTGCACAAATGTTGAAATTGCACAAGGAGAAGATCTCCACCAGGAAAGCTTCACTTCCACCTTGTATACCTCCCAT